CCCAGGTTCGATTCCGGTCAAGGGCACATGCCCGGGTTGCAGGCTCCATCCCCAGTGGGGGGCGTGCAGGAGGCAACCGATCAATGATTCTCTCTCATCATTGATGTTTCTCTCTCTCCTTCCCACTCCCTTCTTCTCTGAAATCAATAAAAAATAAAGTAAGAACGGGGAGCTGGGCCCTTGTATTCGAGTGGGCTCATCATTGATGTTTCTCTCTCTCCCTCCCACTTCCTTCTTCTCTAAAATCAATAAAAAATAAAATAAGAACGGGGAGCTGGGGCCCTTGTATTCGAGTGGAAGTGGGGCCTGGCTGTGTGGCCTGGGCAGGTCACTTAACCTCTGCGAGCCTTGGTTTCGCCATCTGTAAAATGGGCTTCGGGCTTTTACACGGAGCGTGTGGCCGCACAGCTCTGCGCGGAGCTTCCGTTACACTCACTCATGGGTGCTGGGTCTGCCTGGAGCCATCCCACATCCCTCCCTGCTCCCTCCCCTCCGGCCTCTGAACCAGGCCGTTGCCTGGACCTCCCTGAAATGCCAGGCCATCCGAGCAGGAAGGAGTGGGCCCCCTGTGCCCAGGCCTATCTAGAGGGTGGGCAAGGCTTCGCATCACGGACACCCAAGCTGCCCGCCCCCCTGCTCCTTGGACTCAGGGCCTCCCCTCGGTTGTGCCTCCACCCGGCCTCCTTTCTCTGCCCCGGCCCCTCCAGGGTGTCTGTTGGACACTGTCCCAGCCCCTTCAACTTTTTCTGGAAAAATGGCCCATTCTTTTCCTCTGCCCTCCCCAGAGAGTGGTGGGGTGAGGGTGACAGGCAGCCTCCTGGAGTCTGGGCTGGGCGGGGCCGGCGGGCAGAGGAGTGGAGAGGGGACTGAGGTTTGGACCCTCTAACTCTGCCCGGCCCCTTGCAGCCAACGGGATAGTGTCCTTTGAGCAGCCTGAGTACCTGGTCAGTGGTGGGGAGCAAGTGGCCCGCATTCCCGTCGTCCGGCGCATCCTGGACAACGGCAAGTCCCAGGTCTCCTACCGCACACAGGACAACACGGCGCAGGGCAACCGGGTAAGCTCCGCCCTGGGGCTGAGGGCACATCCTGGGAGGGGGGGGCGGGGGCGGACATGGCGGCTGCCTGGGTCCCTGGACGCCTGTAGATGAATGTGCGTGGTTTGACTTGCAGGTTTGTTTGTTTGTGTTTCTGAGTTTATTGCCAACATTTAAAAATTAAAAATATTCCAATCAAAAATTAACTCAAAAAACAAAATCTAGTCTTACTGGGCCCACAGGGCCGTTTGGCAAAGGCAGGGAGAATGCACTCAGCACGTCCGGCAGCCCGGCCACACCCGAATCTTCTTTTTATCGGGAGGAACGGTTTTCATTCCTGATTCAATGCTCCCAATAAAAATTCCAAGGGAGAATTTGTATGTCCAGAAATTTCACGGAATAGGCCATAAATATTCAAGAGATTCCAGCTGTCCTGTTAGGCTTTTATAAAAATGCTTTTGGTATTTAGCAATTTAAAAAAAATTTTTTTTATTATTTCCCAACTTTTTATTTTGAAAAACATCAAACCTCCTGAAAAATGGAAAGACTAATAAAATTAGCATAAGTGTGCCCTTTAGATAGATCCACCAGCTGTTACTATCTGCTTTCTCTTTCTATACAGATCTAGGTATCCATGCATGATGTGGATACAGACGTATGTACAGTTCCACATCTGTATGACTGTAGGGAGGAGGGAGAGAGGATTTGGCTTCGTTCTATGTGCTGAACTCTCCACAACTGTAGATTTCATGTGGCCCTAAATACGTCTGCAGCACCTGCCATTCCTCCTGCAGAACTACAACCTAATTACCACTTAAGAAACTTCCCATCATACTCGCACCTAATAATTAGTCCGTATTCGGAGCTCCCTGTGCTCACGTGTCCCAGTGTGTCCATGATTGCCTCTCCCACTCCAGGAAGCAGAGAGCGGGCATCACGTTTGTCTTTAGGCTCCTTTAATCCAGAGCATTTCCCAGCTTTGTGTTCCCCGCCAGCCCAGGTCAATTGACTTGCAGGCGACTCCAGCTTTTCTTACACTCAGCTGTCTCGCTTGCTGGGTTTTGCAGCGCTTGAATTTGCCTGGTAGGCACAGTGGTCCTCACCAGCTGTGCCTGGAATTGAAATGTTGGTTTCGGAGCGCCACCTAGTGGTCCGATGTGAGCATTGCCGCCCCACCGTTTCAGTTGATTCACTGCGCACACGTGGGGCGCTCAGGGAAGCTCTGGGGCACTGGGGGTGGGAAGCCGGAGCTGATAGAGGCGCCCCACCCAGCAGGCAGGGCCCGGGGGCTGGCAGGGTCCTAGACCTCAGAGCCACAGTGTGGGGACCTGAAATCCCGGCTCCGTGGGATGAGCGCCTGCCTGTGGGGGACTCGGATCTGCGGTGCATCCCTGTCTCTATGCCTTGGTTCAAATCCTGGCTCCCCCACGACTGCCTGTGTGAACTTGGGCACGGTTCTGCCCCTCTGTGGGCCTCAGTCCCTCATCTATAAAATGGGACAATACTCTCTCTACCTCACACTGCTGAGGATGAAATGAGCTAATATTTGTCGAGTGGCGCACAGGAGGTGCCATATGAACCAAGCCACGTATGTCCACGTGGGACAGCCTGTGTGTGATGGTCCGCGGTGTCCCTGAGGTCGGGGTGGGGGGTGTGGCCGGTCTGACCCCTTTCCCACTCCCAGGACTACATCCCCACGGAGGGCGAGCTGCTGTTCCAGCCCGGGGAGACCTGGAAGGAGCTGCAGGTGAAGCTCCTGGAGCTGCAGGAGGTGGACTCCCTCCTGCGGAGCCGCCAGGTCCGCCGCTTCAACATCCAACTCAGCAACCCCAAGTTCGGGGCACGCCTGGGCCAGCCCCACTCGGCCACGGTCGTCATCGGGGACCGAGGTGGGCAGAGCCTGGGGTCCGTTTAGGCAGGCGGTGAGGGGAGGCTGGGGCTCTCTCCGCGAAGGCTGCCGGTCTCGGCGAACAAAAACACAGGGCGCCCAGCCACGTTTCCATTTCAGAGCCTTCAGTCTGTCCCCTGCAGCACTTAGGATAGTCCTGCCCTGAGGAAAGCACTGGTTGCTTCTCTGAAATTCGAATGTGTCCAGGCTCCTGCATTTTATTGGCACCCCGATGCTCACCGTGAACCCCAGGATTAGGCCCTCTGACTTCCGCTTTAGGGGTGAAAGGGTTAGTCTGATGGGTCCTCGGCCTCCTGGTATTTAACAATTCCAGAGGCGCTTGTGGGGAAAATGGGAGAGGAGGCAGTGTTCTTGGGAGGAGGAGCAGATGTCCTCGTGGGGAACATTCCCTTGGCTGCCAGACGATCTCCCTCCTCCTCCTCCTTTCTCCAAAGACCCTCCTGGGTCCTCCACCAAGCTTGGCAGGATGCCCCCTGCGGCCCCGTGGGGGCACCGGTGGAGGGAGACTGCAGGGCAGGTGTCAGTCCATCACAGCTGGGTGTTGCACTGGGCCTCCTGCGCCCCCTGGTGGTGAGAGTGAGTTTCTGCTGGGTGAGGGGATATCCCAACTGGCTGCCCGCCCTGGCTTCACCCACTACAGACGAACTGGACCTGACCTTCCAGAACCAGACCCAGTCTGCATTCCCAGTCTCCCACAGTGTCCTGGGCGCCCCACAGAACCCCAACGCCAAAGCCGCCGGCTCTCGGAAGATCCACTTCAACTGGCTGCCCCCTCCTGGCAAACCAACAGGGTACAGGGTAAGGCAGAGGGCCGATGAGGGAGGTGGATGGGGAGGTGGCTTCCCAGGGCCAGAGGGCCATGAGGGTGAGCGAGGGCATGTTGGCCCCAGTGGGCCGAGCCTCTGTGCCCAGGGAGCTTTCAGATATGTTCCCTCCTTCCTGGAACATGGCCCCTCCGTCCCCCAGGCGCCCACCCCCCCCAGCCCTGCTGTGTGAACCCGGCAGGTCACTCAATCTCTCCGATCCTTGGTGTCTGACCTGTGCAAAGGGGACAGTAGGGCGGGTCAGTGGAGGTCCCAGCTGCTTGGCACTCGCACTTCCCCACTGACCAGCCCCTCCCCCGAGCAGGTGAGGTACTGGATCCAGGGGGACTCCGACTCGGAAGCCCACGTGCTGGAGAGCAAGGTGCCCTCGGTGGAGCTCACCAACCTGTACCCGTACTGCGACTACGAGATGAAGGTGTGCGCCTTTGGCACGCAGGGCGACGGCCCCTACAGCTCCCTGGTGTCCTGCCGCACCCACCAGGAAGGTGAGGCCTCGCCACGACCGGCCGACCAGCCGTCCATCCCTGTGATTCCCCGAAGCCTGTCTGCCCAGCCCTGCCCCCTACCTCCCAGATCTCCGCCCTCTTCTGCCACTGACAGCTCTCTTCCTGCCCACCCCCCGCCCAGTACCCAATGAGCCAGGGCGTCTGGCTTTCAACGTCGTCTCCTCCACGGTGACCCAGCTGAGCTGGGCTGAGCCCTCGGAGACCAACGGCGAGATCACGGCCTACGAGGTCTGCTACGGCCTGGTCAACGAGGACAACCGTAAGGCCCCTCCTTCCGCCCCCGGGGTGGCAGCCGTGGAAGGGGAGGGGCCGAAAGTGGGAGGGAGGCCACATTGTCCTGCTCAGTGGATGAGCCCCTGCATCTGGTCGCCTGAGGCATCATTCGGTTTAGGTCTGGTTCAGGCCCAGAAGCTTCCGGGGCTGGAGGGGGTGGAAGGCGGGAGGTTACACATGTGCTGCGGGCTCACAGGCAGGGGTGCCTTCCCATACAGGTAACCAGAACGGCTAGCTTTTACACCATTCTCTTGGGGGCAGAGTCGAGTTGCCAGACTTAGCAAATAAAAACAGAGGACACCTTGAATTTCCGATAAACAAGTTTTTTAGTACATTTCATACCATGTTTTCTGGCGGCCCTAGGCCGGAGCACCTGGCAGAGCCAGTCTGGGAAGGGAGGCAAGTGTGGGCGATCCCTGCCAATCTTCCAGATGAGAAAGTATTGGAGGAAGTTGGTCCAAACCCTCACCTGGTACAGGGACCTCCTCCTCGC